AGGGGATGGAGGCCTCCTGCCTGTGCCCTACCTCTGGGGCATCCAGACACTGGATGGCAGGGGAAGGGGCCAGGCTGGTGGAAGTACACTGGCCTTAGGGCCGTTTTCTCCTGTTCTTGCGTGGAATCTCTGGTTTCCTCGATATGGCCCTGGCTACATGTACTCAGCCCCTGAAAGGCAGGGGCGTCTGATTGTAGAGGAGGAGCTAATGCAGGTCTGCACGGGGTCACATGTGGAGCGTGGCCTAGGCCTCTTCTGGTAGGTGTTGGAGACCAAATCACATTAGTGCCAGGATGACAAGGAAGCTCAGAAGAGCTGTGGGCCCCCACCATATACCCTGGCGTTGTGCCACCCTGTAGCTGATGTCACGTGGCCCCAGAAAGCCACATGTCGCCTGTGGTTGAATCTCTCTACTCTCTGTCCAGAAACAGGCTTTGCGGTGACAGCCATCTCCCGGACACCAGGGGTGACCTACAACGACTCCTTTGACTTACAGTGTATCATCAAGCCACACTACCCGGCCCGGGTCCCCGTGTCGGTGACGTGGCGCTTCCAGCCAGTGAGCACTGCTGAGTTCCACGACCTGGTGACCTTCACGCGGGATGGAGGGGTCCAGTGGGGAGACAGGTCCTCCAGCTTCCGAACCCGGACTGCCATCGAGAAGGCCGAGTCCAGTAACAATGTCCGCTTGAGCATCAGCCGGGCCAGTGACACAGAGGCAGGCAAGTACCAGTGTGTGGCAGAGCTGTGGAGGAAGAACTACAACCACACCTGGACACGACTGGCCGAGAGGACCTCGAACCTGCTGGAGATCCGAGTGCTGCAGCCAGGTGGGTGGTGCTGCCTTGCAGACCGCTGTCGTGGGACCTGTGGGGTGGCGGTGCTTCTGTGAGGCGGAGCCTCAGATGCGTGCTGACATGACGTGTTGGGACACGTGAGGCTGTGGGCTTGCGTGGCATTCAGGTTTCCACGGGGTTGGGAGACGTGTGGAGGGAGAGGCATGCGTGC